CCAAGGCTCCAAGGCTCCAACTCCAAATAGGGATATGAATCCCTTCAAGAAATTATAGGTCTTTATATTGACATTTGACAGCAGTTGGGATGTCCATCTATTTATTATATTCTCCAACATTTTGCCTAAATGTTGTGCTATTCAGCTACTATGGGGCTTAATTAATTTCTCTCAAAGTCTCAACAACTATATCGATCATGAGTGTTTTGGCTAACAACAGCAACTATCTTCACTTCCACTCAAAAAGGTAATGACCATATATATGTTCACTGAGTGCTGATGAACTTTAACTGCTATTAATTAATTTGCTTGCCTTCTTCTTATTCTAACCTGACCCTACAAAAAGCGAAGATCATAGAGTTATTTGCTTTAAACTTTTAACTCGTCCGTGCCATGCACTCGGGACTCGGGATAAGCTGATGAGTGAGTCCCTTCTTGAATAACGTTGCTCTATGACTTGTTTCCCTCTGAAATCTGAATCCAATCTCCACCTCATATATATCATGGTTTTTAAGTCTTGGATATATAAGCAACTTCACATTCTAGTCTGAACCTTTTTTTTTTTTTTGAAATTCCAAATCTTTTAGCATTTTATTTGGAATTTTATATATTTCTTTTAGCATGTGTTTCACTTAATTAATTGACAGTGTTCTTAATAATATTGTTTATATTACTAGTTTTCGTAACAAATCAATAATTGTGTAATAGATTCAACACAAAATAACCTGCAAAACAATCCAACATTTTCTAAAAATTTAAAACCATGTTCTGTATGGGAAGAGTTATTCAGAGAAACTTGGATGAATTTAACCTCTTTATGTTTGTTTCTATACTCCCTACTTCTATTATTATATTTCATTTTTTAGTGTCAATATAACTTTATATTACTTCTATTCTTTAACTTTTATGATCTTCAATATTTTTTTCATTAAAATCTATAAAATATTTTGAAATAAACATATAACTTAACTAACCAAGTTAGTCCACTCAATAAATTTAAGGGATTTTTGGACTGCAATCCCCCTCAGAAATCTAATTTGCAACCCCCTCCTAGTCTACTAGTAGCCCCCCCCCCCTCCTATAAACCGCATCCTGTCCGTGAATCTGGCATCAATGCACAGGCAGGATTCAGTCCACCCCTAGTCTACTAGTAGCTCCACCTAAGGGTGGACTGAACGGTAAAAACCCCTAAATTTTAACCAAAATTACAATTTTTGTTAGTAATTGAGGTAAAAAAATGTAAATTAAATATTCTATTTTCTATCACATGTTATTGTTCTATGTAACATTGGAATTATTTCAGAGAAATAGAACAAATCAAATATTGTTCACTTGTACTTATTCTCAAATTTTCTTGCTAAATTATAAAATTGCTGTTGATTTTTATCCTTCCATTTATTTAATTCCAAAATTTACAATGGGTTGTCAAGAGGTTAAGTTTAGACAGGATACTATATATTCCATTCAGTTACATATATATATTTACGAGATCTAAATTCAAATTGATTATAATTAAACTAAATCTTTGTTTTTCTTATATACTTAGATGTTATAACATCATAAGAAAACCGACTAAAATGACTTCTAGAAAATTTAAACATGTAAATTTTGGTTGAATATATAGTACAAAACCAAATATCCTTTTCTTTTTTTATTCGGATAAACAAACGATGAAAAGACGATCCGTTACCCGGCCCCCACTCCCGGCAAGTCAATCAGAAGCTTTGCTAGGTTTCTTGAAACAGAATCAGGCTAAGAAAGATCGCCATGGGCCTCTTGTGTCTAGTGGACTAACAGATCTTCTGCTTTCTTACCTTTTCGAAGATTATGAGATCATGTCACAGTAGTACTACCTGAAGTCATCATCTCTTGAGTATGCTCCAGTATATTATCCAGATGTTCGGGCCTGGATTCGATAGGAATTCTTCAAATCAGGCACCTAATTTACACCATTTTATAGAAAGAAAAGGAAGAAGAAAGAAAAAAGAAAAGAAAGATAAATAGATAAATAGATAGATAGCAATATTGGTGAATTAGATGGGGATGATTTGGATTTAGTCCAATGAAATAAAAAAAAAAAAAAAAAAAAAAAAACATTTTGGACTTCATATGTGGTCCATGTGGCTCCTTAGAATATCATAATATGAACGAATTTGGATCATGTATGATCATATTCACGGGAAGCCCTAATACTATTCCATGTATGAATGCTGATGAGCAAAGAACCTTGGATTCTCACTTTAAAATAAACATAAATAGTTGGAAACTAAGTTCTTTTTTCTTCATGTAACTGGAGGTTGTGGGCTTTCAATTAGCTATGGGTTATGGACTAGAGTGGACCCAACATTGGAATCAAATTTGGGAAAGCAGAAATGAAAGAGCTGAAACCAAATAAAACATTGATGAATATGACATAGTCGAAATCTTGGAGTTATCGTGAATCCATCAACTTTTTTGAAATCCATGAATCCACGAACTTATCATAAGTGCCTAATTAATGTTCACATAAGGCTGCATTTGGAAACGATGCAGATGGAGTGTAAATCCTGGTTCAGGGTAAATTTGTACTCTGATTCACTTTTGCCAGTGTTTGATAACATTACATTTATGCATTGACAAATGACAGCCCAATGCATATATACATTGATAATAAGATGTAAAAGTACATCAATAAAAAAGAATTAAATTTGCATCTAAATGGGCTTTTGATAAAAAAAAAAGAAGCATATACTTTATTGAAATTCATGTTTGCATCCATTACCGCTAAATGTCTATTTAGTAAGAAGATAAATTTGTCAATATAAAACTAACCCAATTTTACAATTTACATCACTTATTTGCATCATTTCCGAACACAGCCTAAAAATTCTTTCCTTATAGTTTATTTATAGAGCCCAAGGTGATGTCATGTACCCACAAGATGAGTCACATCAGTCTTCACCAGTGAAGCATTAACCGGATATCCAATACACTTGAAGAGGCTTGTCAGATATTCTTGAAGACCCACATGAATATTTTGCCATTGGTAAAGATTGACGTGTATTCATCTTGTGGGTGCAATAATAAAATTAAACCTGACAAATTATCTCCAGACTTCAGAACTTGGTTTACCATGAGAATGACAAATTTTGAATGAACAAAACGAGCAAGGGTGTATGGTATAGCAGCAGTGTGTCGTTGTTACATTTTAAGGTTGATCAATACAAAATTGTGAGAGAAATTTTTCTATGTAAGATATTTAGAAAATAAATATCTTGAGTTAGTTAAAACAAATTGCTATTTCTATTTAAAAACTCACACATGTATGTTTCTAGTTGAAATGGAACTCAGATTGATTAACCCAAACTGTTTCAAGTAGAAACAGCAATAGTATCAAATACAACTCACGGAGGAAAGGTGTAAAGAAGAAGAAAGAGAATATTTAATAGCTCCTATTGAGGGAGGGAGTGATCATGGACCGTGACGAGCCAAATTCTGAGTGGCCCAGCTCATACGGAGCCTAAACACAAACCCTGGGTCCAAGGCTTGAGTTCTTAGGCCGGGCTGCAAATGATCGTCATCTCTATTGAATTCAACTGAGCCAGAGCTTCAATAGTCAATACCAATGCTCCACATGCCCCCCAACCCTCGGCAGAGATTTCTATATGAAAACCAACCGGGCCTTGGCACCTTCATTCGCCCAATTTGGGAATTCCTTATTATTTTCAGCTGATGCTAATTTTTGAGATGATAAGCCTTTTATTTTATTGGATGAAGTGCAAAATGTAAGGTAATTCTGTAGAGATCACATCTGCGCCTACACAGGGGGTTAACTTTGGCTATTGGGGCCAACAGCCTTTCTTGTCGAAAGAGTTTTTGGGATGGCATTTCACTAATTCACTCGCATGCTTTTGTTTTTACTTAAACTCCAACAGTCAAAGTTTTTCCTAGTACATCTCAGCGTGTATTGGAAATATCTTTCAAAGTTGTCAGATACATGGTTGAGATATGCTGTAGGGCATTTGTGGGGTACAGATGTGGATGAAATTGAAATCTCATTCCCATTATTGGTGAAATGATATTTCTCCCATTTAAGGAATCAGCTACTGACCATTCCCTTTCCTCGAAAATGAAATCTCATTCCAACTGCTCTTAATTCCATTTTGATTCCTGTCTGAACCAAACAGATTAGGAAAAGTTCATTCCAATTCCGATTCTAAAAGTTTTTAATTCCTATTCTGATTCTGACCATGAATCAAATGAATCCTTAGTATATTTAAAATAAAGATCCATTTGGTTCATAGTTGGAATCAGAATAATCATTCCTATAATCTATTTAGTTCAGACAGAAAAGGGAATAAAAATTAGAATAGCAGGAATGGCCAAATGGGATTTCATTCTCAAGGAAGAGAGAGGAAATAGGTATTCTCTCAAATGAAAAAATACCATCAATTCCACCCATTGGAATCGAAATCCGTAAACCAAACAGAAACTAATTTTAAAAATGATCAATTTAAGTGTTTAGCGTTTTAAAAACAAGTTTAACTACCTGTCAGTGCCACAACGATGTTCGACTACCATCTCTCATTACCTTTTCCCATGAAAGCGGTTTGATTTATGCTTTCGCTGTGAGCAAGGATTGAAATCATTATTAATTTTTTTGATTTTATTCATTTTAATTTTTTTGGATGTTCCACAATCCACTTTCAAACACGTATCCGGTGACTTGGTCATTAGATCTAAAGAAATTTCTCAAATTAAAGGTTCGTCCTTAGTGAGATTGAATCAAGGTCACGCCTTTTGGCGATAGATCTCAACGTTTTTAATCATAATGTGGTGGTCATTGGTCACCAACGCCTTTTGTAGCTGCAGTCTCAGTGTTTGTTAAATGGAGGAAGAAAAATTCTGAGAGATTTTTGTTCGATGACTTGCGAGATGCAGCTATGTACTTTTACTTGGATTAAAACCGACTAATCCGATAATGGTAATCCTTAATCCTAGTAGCAAAAAGAAAAAGCGAGGGAAAAAGAATATACAAATTCTATTCATATAGTTCCGTCATATATGTATATACATACATAAAAACGAAGGCATTCATCCTTCGTCTAATCATCTATCTAAAAGACAATAACCCATGATATTACCAACTTCCGCAATAAAAGTAAAAGAAAAAACAAACACTGATTTAGCTGTTTAAGGGAACTTGGGCAGAGTTGGGGAGCTGATCGCCAGAATGGTTGTTTTCGTAATAATGGACAATCGCTGCACCAGAGAGCACTGCCAAGGTTAAGGCTTGTGCATGCATCCTGCACCCATAAAAAATTCAAAACATTAATGCTTGTTTGGATAGATGATCTCCAGCCCACATTGTTCCTAATTTATGAATGAAGGGGGTCTTCTTACCGAGCATGTATGAGCCTCATGCTCGTCTTAAGTGGGGTTCTCGAACGCGTATAAACCAGTGATGCCCCAATTGCCGATGCCCACATTGCGCCTGATGCAGAGAAAACCTTTTAGTCTTTTTCATTTTAGGAGATGTACACTACATAATCCACAAGGACAGAGAGGAAAAGCAAATAATTGAAAAGGAGGAGGAATTAATTACTTACTGATGCTGGTGAGTTTGTGTTCGGAAACCCAAGATTTCAAGGAATCCATCTTCTGGTCTGATATGGTGTGGAAAGAAAATGGGCTAAAATTTCCACAAAGAAGAGAGGAGAAGAGAAAGGAAGCAGGAGAAATGGGTAGCTCTATGTGATCGGGTGGGTAGAACTGGAACTGTGTGAGTGTTAATCCACTCAATTGTGAGGTAGGGAAGGTTAGGGCTGTGCTACTTATATAGATCTATCATATTGTAGCCCCAGCACCCGGTTTGTGCTTCTCTCTCTCTGTTTCACAAAACCTGGGGGAGGCTGCTGAGCTACAAAACTACCGGCAGACTGAGGTTAGTGGTTATGGGAAGTGGGAATCCCCATCTTTCATTTTAAAAAGCTACATACGATAAATAAAAAAAGGATGAAAAATGTATATGCACCGTCGGATGTGGTGGAAAAGCGAGATTCTTCTAACTTACAAAATACGGGTGTCAGAGGTCCCTTTCAAGTTTCAACTTCTCTCGAGGACTATGGTTATTTGTTATTTATTATTGATGGGAAAGACACGTGTCTAGGTACACAGAGGTCTGGTTTCTTCATTAGTCAATGGATGGTCCCCACCTAAACAGAGATATTTACACCCACCATGTAATTGGCTCGATACCTTTATTTTTTGTTTGGATTCGGGCTCTCGCAGCTCGCTCGCTGGCACTAGCAGCATTTGATTTTGGAATAGAAATCATGATTCAACAACCAAACCGGAGGCGTATCAAACCACCCGCCTCTGGCGACTACCGACTGCCGCAAGCTCGACTGGCTGGGAAATGAGAAGTGAGCCAGTAGTAAGGACCGACCTATTAACATGCAACAAAATACATCTTTGATTCAGCTAAATGACTTTGATTATATTTACCCATAATTTCTGGGGGGGTGGAAAACCAGGTGCATGCATATTTACAAGTTTAACGACATAAGAACAATCAAACTGAACTACTACATCTCTTATGTAGAGCAGAGCAATCTTGCTGTTTACAACCTCAGCCGCAGCTTGTTAATTAGCAATTTGGCAAGGATTGTCAATTGCTCGGACCTGACTTAATTATTAAATGGAACAAAATTATAGAACACACCTGTTTCAATTATTTAACAGGATAATCGGGTGTGATCCAATTAAACCAATTAAACAAAATTTATACTTATCTATGTTAATAGCAACTTAAAATTTTATTTTTGATAATTTAACCTTAATAACAAAATATTATTAAAATAATAAATTGTTTATATGTTAATGAATCAAATACTTTAAATCAAAATTATCTTATATATAATTTATCAAGTTTATCCTTTTAGACATAAAAATATAACAAAAATTATAAGAAATTAAAAAAGAAAAACCTTTATATATTATTTAACTCAATAATTTATTAGATTTAGAGAATGGTTTTGAAAACCAAATCGGATTGGATAATTGAACCAGTTGACCCAGAAATGCGTCACGTAACCAGTTCCGTTTCACCTTAAAAATTAAAATTGCTCCAAAGCCATAAACTGTTGATTTGGTTAGTGACCATTGACCCGGGAAATAGAACCATCGACTCGGATAATGGTATTTAGCCATTTTTTGTTTTGTTTATTTTTTAAGTCAAAGCATCAATAACCAGTCCCAACAATTATTTTTGTCGCATACACAAAATATCCACGCTATCCAACAAGCTTTGATCACAAAAGGCACCATCAACTTGAATTGAAACAAAAGGCATGGTGCTACTTCCATCTGATTCGGGCTGCCCTTATTGAACTGCTCTGGCTATCTTCTCTATTAACCATTTTGGAGGGTTGAGCTCAAGCCTTAAATAACTGCTGTTGAAACAGACAGCTGTTAAAATGATTGATGGACAATCTATTTGGGCTTTTTCAAATTTTCACTAAACATAATTTGTAGGCTGTCCATATAGGGTCCACCCCAAAGGCCAAAACCGCACTTCAACCTTCTCAAATGGGCACATAGTCCTATTATTCTCAAGCAGAGACATGGGGTGGGAACACTTAAAAGATATTACCCAATGGCTCTTCAGAGGGTAGACTAGGTACACTCCTAACATTTGGTAAATGACCCCCTACATGTGGTGAGAGCATTGACCTATAAAAATATGAATAAAATACAAAAAACTTCCGCTGAAGTTTTCTATAATCATAAAAACTTCTCCTCAAATTTTATTTTAACAAAAAACTCCCTCAACTTTTGGAAAATTCAACATAAACCTCTTTTTAAAGTACCCATTTTACCTTTTGCCTCTGGCAAAATTATGGCCTTCTATTCTATTCTTCTTTCGGTGTAAAATAGATAAATACGGCACCCGGTGCTTCTTTTATAGATGGTATCTAACCGCTGGCGAGTGCCAAGCTGAACTGACAATCAAATGAAGAACCATTGGAACACGCATTTGAGCAAGAAGCTTCGGATAAGAAAGTAAAAAAGGCAAACTTGGTGTCTCTTCATCACTAACAAGCTCTAAAATATGCAATCAAGTAGAGAAAGTTCTCAAGCTCCCCACTAATTCAATTTCTGATCTTCAGCTACTTGTGACAGCAACATTACTAAACCTGTCCAACCCAAAGTGAACTAAGCTTTCAAAACACTGTTGAAGTGTTGAACAAACAAGATCCGACAGTTGGTGAATGTTTTGAGAGTTCTTTTTGGCCTTTCATAGATGATTTAAATTCAAATGCCCTTAGCTTGACAGAGCTTCTTAATGGATATCCCCTTGATGCAGCCTAGCATGCCTTATAATCTCTCTCTCTCTCTCTCACACACACACAAGAAGAAGAAGAAAAGGTAAATACTCCTTTGTTGTCGGTTTTAGCAACCTCTAAAGGTAATACATGGGTGTTATATTAACTTTCCATGCATCTCTAAATAAGAGATGCACCCAAACACTTATTTTACTAGATAAATAATGTTTAGAATTCAAGTGAATGCAAATGAAATTGGAGTAGTTATTACTTATAAAACTGTCAAACATCCAAGGAAGGGTGCATATTGCACTCCTCTTTTTGCACGAAATGGAGAACACAGCGATTCTGAAGGATTCATGGTTCAAACTGGTTGATTCAGACAAGACAGGGAGCATCACTACCCCTCAGCTCAAGAGAGCTCTAGTAGTAGGAAACTTAGAATTCCCTCTCTCCGTTGTTTAGCAAGAAAATGATCAAAATGTATGATTTCGATCGAAATAGAACAATGAGCTTTGAAGAATTTGTTGCTCTTAACAAGTTTCTTCTTGAGGTTGTTCAGCAAGCTTTTTTAGACCTAGGAAGGTGTCGTAGATTTCTTGTTCCTAATGATGTTTATGAGGCTTTGATGAAGGTTGGGTTTTCCCTTAACTCTCTTGCTTTTTATACAGTCTGTGAGAGCTTCAATCAAAAGATGAATGGAAGATTCCAACTAGATGATCTTATAGCACTTTGTATACTTTTATAGTCTGCCAGGAATCTATTTAATTCATTTGATACAACTAAGCAAGGTCAAGTAACACTGGATCTCAACTAGCTTGTTTCCTGCACTGCCAACTATAGAAATATGAGAAATCAAACTACTCCACCATGTTCTCCTCTTTGTCTAAAGATACCCTTAGAATTCTTTTGGTGCTTGAGGAAATTGTGGCAAATCTAGGCATTTTGTGTATGCCTATGTGTGAAGTTCTTTCTTCATCACTATTCTAGTACCTGGATTGAAAGTAAACCCAAGATCTGAGATCTGTTGTCCATGTTTCTTTGTATAAGCATTATAAGTGTGTATTTATTGTTGGATTTCCAATGAACTGGTGGACATTTTGAGGTAAAAACAATGGAGTGCTTTCTACCAGATTGGTTTATCAATAGTAAGAACTGCTTGCTTTTACCATCACAGGTTTGTATATCGTCTCCATGGCATGTGTCTGAACTCAATGAAGTTTCAAGTAGAAAAAAAGGTGGCATGAGTATGAACTCGATGGAGTTTCAGAGAGAAAAAAGGGCGGCATGAGTTTGAACTCGATGGAGTTTCAATGGGAAAAAAAGGGCAGCAAAAATGGGTTTTTCAAGTTAAAGTTTATTTCATTTTATGTGACATCATATACAAAACGGTAAAATGTGTATTTTAAAAAAAAATAATGCATCAATCAAACCTTTTCCCATCTGGGAAAATGAGGGAAGGGAGGTTTATGTTGAGTTTATCAAAAGTTTAGGAGAGATTTTTGTTAAAGTTAAACTTGAAGGGAGGTTTTTATGATTGTCAGAAACTTCAGGAGAGGTTTCAATTCATCCATAAATGCCATACCACAATTGTAAAATGTAAGTGGAAAGCAAGCTTGTCATCTTCAAATAAAGATACATCACTAAAGCCCAATGTGTTCATCCTCTCAAACAAGGGAGTCTCTGACAAAAGATAATAACATACTATAAAAATTCTTTCTTATTTTGACACAGAATATGGAAAGGAGGAGTTGACCTTTCCTTTTAAAATAGGTTCTGCATGACAGGGAGGCAGGGAGGCTAGCATGATCATGAATGGATCTCCACAACAAGAGCTTAGTTCTAGAGGTCTTTAGTTTCCAAAGTTATTCCACAACCTTGAGCTCTCCTAGTTTAACTCACTAAATGATTCAGCTCTTCTCACCCATATGGTCATCTGCTTACCTCCTAGTTTAACTCACTAAATGAGTGAAAGTTCAAAACTTTATTTGTTAGTATTTCCCTCCTATCAAACACAATTCTTGAGAAGCACATCTCTACTTGCAATGAGGCTTCTCTACTCCCTTCTATAAATTAATAATCATGTTTAACTTCATGCAATTAATCTTAAGCTCACATTTAGAAAAGCTCCACTAAAATCTCCTTGTCAACTTGTCAACTCCATACATAAAGATTGAGGAAACAATAAGGATGGCATAATAGGAGAGTCTCAAAAACATATTCTATGAGAACCAATGTTTTAAAAAACGATCCAGAAACGGAACTGTTTTGGCCATTAGTTTCCAGGTTAATGGTCCAATCATCCGGTTTGAATGGACAGTCCATTCTAGCAAATAAATAAATAATGGTCAAAAACCGTTGTACGGGTCAATGGTTCAACCGTCCGGGTCAATGGGTTGTTGACTTTTTCAACGGTTTCTTACCAAAATCAGGTTGGGGGTAAAACGAAACCAGTTGTTTAGATGGCTCCCGGGCCAAATGGTCTGACCATCCGGGTCAACGATGGTTCGAAAACCTTGATGATAACCACTTTCCCTCTTTGGGAAAGATGTTTCACTTTCCACCACCCTAGAGTTCTTTGTTATTGGA